AAAATCTTAGATAACTCAATGAATACTTATCCAAATCGCGAAAATATTCATTATTGACAAAGTTATATCTATAATAGTATTGAACTAAAATATGATTTTGAAAATTTAATATAATAAAATTATTTTGAATTTAAATGTAAAGTTCTGGTAAGGAGTTAAATTAAGAAAGAATAATTGAGTAATTGAGTGATATTTGATAAGTTAGGGAGAAAATTTCACATACATTGTAGTAAATATATGTTATTGCAAGAGTTAGGATGAGTTGTTGTCTGAGGTAAGGATGAGTCTATGACTGAGGTAAGGATGAGTTGTTGTCTGAGGTAAGGATGAGTCTATGACTGAGGTAAGGATGAGTCAATGACTGAGGTAAGGATGAGTCTATGACTGAGGTAAGGATGAGTCTATGACTGAGGTAAGGATGAGTCTATGACTGAGGTAAGGATGAGTCAATGACTGAGGTAAGGATGAGTCTATGACTGAGGTAAGGATGAGTCTATGACTGAGGTAAGGATGAGTCTATGACTGAGGTAAGGATGAGTCTATGACTGAGGTAAGGATGAGTTGTTGTCTGAGGTAAGGATGAGTCTATGACTGAGGTAAGGATGAGTCTATGACTGAGGTAAGGATGAGTTGTTGTCTGAGGTAAGGATGAGTTGTTGTCTGAGGTAAGGATGAGTTATTGTTTAAGGTAAGGATGAGTCTATGACTGAGGTAAGGATGAGTCTATGACTGAGGTAAGGATGAGTCTATGACTGAGGTAAGGATGAGTCTATGACTGAGGTAAGGATGAGTCTATGACTGAGGTAAGGATGAGTTGTTGTCTGAGGTAAGGATGAGTCTATGACTGAGGTAAGGATGAGTCTATGACTGAGGTAAGGATGAGTCTATGACTGAGGTAAGGATGAGTCAATGACTGAGGTAAGGATGAGTTGTTGTCTGAGGTAAGGATGAGTCTATGACTGAGGTAAGGATGAGTCTATGACTGAGGTAAGGATGAGTCTATGACTGAGGTAAGGATGAGTCAATGACTGAGGTAAGGATGAGTTGTTGTCTGAGGTAAGGATGAGTTGTTGTCTGAGGTAAGGATGAGTTATTGTTTAAGGTAAGGATGAGTCTATGACTGAGGTAAGGATGAGTCTATGACTGAGGTAAGGATGAGTCTATGACTGAGGTAAGGATGAGTCAATGACTGAGGTAAGGATGAGTCTATGACTGAGGTAAGGATGAGTTGTTGTCTGAGGTAAGGATGAGTTGTTGTCTGAGGTAAGGATGAGTCTATGACTGAGGTAAGGATGAGTCTATGACTGAGGTAAGGATGAGTCAATGACTGAGGTAAGGATGAGTTGTTGTCTGAGGTAAGGATGAGTCTATGACTGAGGTAAGGATGAGTCTATGACTGAGGTAAGGATGAGTCTATGACTGAGGTAAGGATGAGTCTATGACTGAGGTAAGGATGAGTCTATATGACTGAGGTAAGGATGAGTCAATGACTGAGGTAAGGATGAGTTGTTGTCTGAGGTAAGGATGAGTCTATGACTGAGGTAAGGATGAGTCTATGACTGAGGTAAGGATGAGTCTATGACTGAGGTAAGGATGAGTCTATGACTGAGGTAAGGATGAGTCTAATGACTGAGGTAAGGATGAGTTGTTGTCTGAGGTAAGGATGAGTCTATGACTGAGGTAAGGATGAGTTGTTGTCTGAGGTAAGGATGAGTTGTTGTCTGAGGTAAGGATGAGTCTATGACTGAGGTAAGGATGAGTCTATGACTGAGGTAAGGATGAGTCATGACTGAGGTAAGGATGAGTTGTTGTCTGAGGTAAGGATGAGTCAATGACTGAGGTAAGGATGAGTCTATGACTGAGGTAAGGATGAGTTGTTGTCTGAGGTAAGGATGAGTCTATGACTGAGGTAAGGATGAGTCTATGACTGAGGTAAGGATGAGTCTATGACTGAGGTAAGGATGAGTTGTTGTCTGAGGTAAGGATGAGTCAATGACTGAGGTAAGGATGAGTCTATGACTGAGGTAAGGATGAGTCAATGACTGAGGTAAGGATGAGTCTATGACTGAGGTAAGGATGAGTCTATGACTGAGGTAAGGATGAGTCTATGACTGAGGTAAGGATGAGTCTATGACTGAGGTAAGGATGAGTCAATGACTTAGGTAAGGATCATTCCATTCCACATATATCACAACACCTACACCTTACACAACCCACAAATCATCTCCAAATTTCTTTTCAGAACTTCTTTTAAATGAGTATTTTTCAATCAACAAACATCCCTTCTTTTGCCCGCACAAAAGGTTTCAGATGTTATATTGTTCCAGAAACTCATGAAACAAAGTTCTAAATGAAAATCCACGGAATGAGCTTGTTCAATAGCATTATCAATAAAAAGAAATCTATGGTATCGCCCGCACAATACCAAAAGATTCCATTTTGTAATGAATGATTACTATGATCCAAGGATGGTTCCGTAGACTTGAAAATTTTAAATTGGAGGTTTAATTCAAATTTGGCGGGCTTTTGGTCGTAGATTAATTTAACTAATATGAATTTGGATTGTGCTTTCCTTATTGATGTAATGATATTTTCACTAATAAAAAATGAAATATACACAAGAAAAAAATTATTCAAAAATTATCATTGCATTTTATTTGAAGAAATTTTGAAAAAACATCATACACATACTATAAATGAATATTATCATCTTAATTTTAATAAATTTCATTTACTTGGAAAGATGCAAGATCATCTTGTACTTACTCTTCGATTTATTCCATGTAACTTCGCAGGTAATAATGGCGCGCTTACCTCTATTTTGGATTTTTATAGTTTCCCTCAAAACACATTCTATGGACTTACGCTCGTATCGCGTTAAAAAATGTCGTTAAAATTGAACCGCGCCAAATGTAAAAGAACTTCATCAGTCACTGTGATTTTTTTGAAAAATTTATCCCAATTCAAGCATCCAATTGATCTTTCTGTCATTGTACTTATGCATTGATAAAGTTGATTTAATGAATCCGAAGAATAATCATTATGCTTGACTAGTTGAGTTAGTTGATACAGACTGTCGTCAGCCATTTTAAAAAAATGAATAAAATTGTATAGTAAATTATATTTGTGAAATTTGTGACGCTACATTCAATCTAAGACCAATATCTCAAAGAATTCCTCATTTAAGTATTACTTTTCATTGTTTTTTAAAAAATATCTTTGCTTATTTGTTCACTTTTTTGACATTTATTATATGCTTTTTATCATATTTCCGATGATATGAATATATATTCTATATAAGAATGACGCTACATTCAATCTAAGACCAATATCTCAAAGAATTACTCATTTAAGTATTACTTTTCATTTTTGATTCAATTTTCGAACGGTTTTCGTAAATTTTGCATCATTTCATTTTTTAATGGGAAAATCATCTATATTTAATCAAAAAAGAGCAAACTTTACAGACGAAAATAAAATATTTATCAGGGAACAATCTGATAAATACCAAAAATCAACATCGAGAGATGAAAAAACGAATATAATCAAACAAGTTCTTCAATATTTTAATATTAAATACGCCGAAAATGAATCTAAAGCTGTCAGAAGATATTTTAGTTATATTGCAGTTAAAAATATTCCCGCAGTTACTGGAAAATATCCTGATACAATTGTTCGCAAAGATATGCTTTATTCGCATGATCATACAAATATTATTAATTCAAATAATATTGAACGTTACTACCGTTGCATCGATCATTCTTGTCAAGCACGTTATTTAGTTAAAATTGAGAACAGTTCAGTTTCCGAAGATTTACAAAAGGAACATATACCCGAATGCAGACAATTTAAAAAGCTACAAAATGAAAAAAATGATCTTCATAAATCAATGACTCTGACAGAAATATACAATAAGGCAATGGCAGAATTTTCTGAAGACAACGGCACTTTTCAGCAGATTAAAAAATTTATGACAGAACTTGCTGTTGGTACTGATGAAAACCCATTAATTAAAGATTCATTGGTCAGGGAAGTTTATAATAAGTCCAGAAAATTTTCTGTTGGAGAAAAAATTACAGACGATGAAATTGCTAATTTTTGTTTAATAAATGGCGAGCAGTTTTTCATTGGCCATGATTTTCAAGCAAATTGTGAGACGATGTTTTTTGGTTTTGAGAAGGCAATTCAATTTGCAAAAGAAGCCACAGATTTATTTTGCGATGGAACTTTTAAAATTACACCAAAACATTTTCAAAAAGGACAGATGCTAACAATTATGATTTGTGAACCTTCAACAAATCAATATCTACCACTTTTATTTATATTCATGAAAAACTGCACATTTGAATCTTATAAGAAGGCATTTGAATATATTTTTACTGTCAAGGGTATTCAATTTTCAAAGCTAATTCAAATTCATTGTGATTTTGAAAAGGGAATGATAGAGGCACTTCAACAAATTTTCCCTAAAGTCCGTATAATTGGATGCCTATTTCATTTCAAACAAGCTTTGCACAGGAAACTTGTAGCACTTTATACAAAAAATTTCAATACTTTACAAAATTCTTTATTCTTTATTCTTTATTCTATTACTCCATTCATGTCTCATGAAGAATTTGTACTTACAATGCATATAATTAATCAAAATAAAGTTGATTCGATCAAAGATTATATTGATTATTTCAACAAAGTTTGGTTGCCGCACTACAATTTAATATCTCAATATAATAATGCAACTGCAATATTCACTAATGATTGCCTCGAGAGTATGCATTCAGAATTTTCTTCGTTAAAACATCCAAACATTTATGAAGCTATTAAGGAGATATCTCAAATCCAATTAGATAAATATAACGCCATCAAAAATAACCAGAAGATCGAGCGCCATATAAAAACCGTTATCACTGATAGCTACAAAAATTATATTCTTGACTGCTTTCAAAAAAGAACTTGAGAAAACAATTTTTTCTATCAAACAATACAACGTAAGTGATCTTTCTTTGGCTCAGAACGAGATTTCTCCATATGGTTCCATAGAATCGAGTTCATTGTTCGAAAATATTCCAGTTCATGATGCAGATATACTCAAATCGATCGATCTAACAGATAAAGATACAATGATCACTAAGTTTATTAATGAAAAAAGAGAAAAAATTATGGCATTATTTAATGAAACATTAAATCATCCAGATTTTAATTCATCCACTCCAATTCAAACTAATTTTGAGCAAGCCGATACAAATCAAGGTTCAGATGCTCCAATTCGCTCCGAAAATTCAAATATTGCAGACTCTACAGATTTAGAACCAGAAAATCAAAACCATCCTTCTACAAATCAAATGTCTAGTAATCTAGAACATAAGCTGGACCTTCTTGATCATATTGAAAAACAATTATCGAAAATGCGCTCGTTATTGGGAATTCTTCCTACTACAAAATGCTATTGTTGGGCCGTCAAAACAAGTTTCAGTTAATAGCAAGCAAAATTCTGAAAAAATAAGAAAAAATCTTCCATAACAACAAAATCAAACAATAAAAAACAAAATTCATCCGACAATCCTCCTAAACGTAAAGCTCCTATTTCGGAAAGGATTCTCAGCGATAATAACTTATATTTTCAAGTTCATCGAAAGAGATCGAAAAGCAAACGTTCCACATCTACAGAGAAAAAGAATTGATATATGAAGTCTAATTCCTTTTATAACTACTATATTTTTATTCTTATGACTAAAAAATAATATATTATTTAAGGGTGCACCAGTATGTACGTTTATTTGAGAGGAGGAGGATTACCCTCTCAATTTTGAGGGATTCGTTAGTTTATTTTCTCGATGAATATGCAATAAAATTTGATTTTTACCTTATCAATATACTTCATATAATATACACATGTTCATGTAAAAACTTTTTCCCAAAATCCTCAGGAATTAAGGGATTTTTGAATTTTAAGAATTTTTTTCGAATTTTTTCGAAAAAAAAATATTTTCAGAACAGCCGTAACGGCTAAGATTTAGGAACAATGTTAAGTATCAAAAAGAAAGGAGGTCTGATATAGACAACATATATCGTTGAAGGTTGAAAAAATCTCTAATATTTGAGCCCAAAATTTCAAATTTTAATTTTTTGAAAAAAGAGGCCACCCGTATGTACGTTTATTTGAGAGGAGGATTATATTTTTGAAAGGGTGAAACATTATGAATATGTTAATTATATAATAATATGTATTATATAAAAAGAAAAAATAAAGCACGTTAAAATTTTTCTTTCTTGATATTTTTTACAAAATCTACTTAGAATTATGCAAAATATGACTAAATAATTATAAATTTCAAGTTAAATTTTAATTTTGCTAAATAATTTAAATTTCAAAATATCAAGTTCAGTTCGACTATGTATGTAGTAATTCCTCAATAAAGTGCCAAAACCCTATTAAAAATATATGAACTTTTCAACATTTTAATGTTTTTATTTAAAAATTTGTTGGAATATGAGCTTCAAACAATTATTATGTAAATAAAAATAATTAAATATATGTATTTATTCGTATTACAACCGTAGTAAGTCGATTCTTCCTTTCTTCTACTGAGTTTTGAATTTGATTTCGAATTGTAAAGAGATTCAAAGGGAAAATACTAGCGGATAAAAACTACCTCCATGAAAGGGTCATAATGGAGTCAAGTTGTATTTTTTGATATTTTTTGCTTTTCGAGCCTAAATAGGTAGCCAAGATAATGCCTAAAAATAAGGTTCTAAATTCTGAAGTTTACATGATCCTCTCGTGTGCACCCTTAACTTTTTAAGTTTTCTCCAAAAATAGATACTACTCATATGTATGAGCTACCTAAATGTTAATATCCCTATATCTCAGATAATAGTTCTGAGGGTGGTCTATCGTCAATAACATAAAAGCAAAAAATAATTGTTATAATTTAAATGAAGAAGTAATTTAAAACGATTTTATTTATGATCAAATTTTATATATTTTTTTGGATCAAATCCATTTTAATAGAATTTATATACTATTCATCTATTAGTAAACACTACCGTATATTATTTTTTAAGCTATCTTATTTTTGAACTTTTATTCAAATCTTTGTCGCAAGAAGAATTGCATGATAAATAAAAACATTTAATCAAAGTCAATTTTATTTTTCATATTCAAATGGACTGAGTGTGTTAACATTTAACATTTTTTGCTAATTGTCGTCAAAATTAGGCGTAAAGCAAAATTGATATTTCATATGGTTTTATGATAGATAAGCATTATATTCCCACTCATTATATTCGTAAATTTTGAGGTTTATCCTTCGCTTTTAAGATCATTGAATTTGATTTTTATATAAAATAGTTATATATTAGAAAATAATATGAGTTTATGTGATATTATTTTTCAGAAGATTTCATTCTATATGCCTATGAAAAGTACTCTCAAAACTAACTTTTTCCTAATTATAATTAAATCTAGAATATTGTATTATGCTTAGTATTATTTCATTTTTCTCATTCAATTTAGAATTTACAAATGTCAAAAAAATTGAGAGCTGTCACTTTTGATGAATTTCTGTTTATTACACTATCAAAGAAATTAATCAATTCCAATTGCAGCTTACAAATTTATAATATAAATTTTGTACCGTGAAATAAATTATATCAAATAATTTTATTTGCAAATAATTATCAATTCAATATATACACCATATTCTTATAAATCTTAATGACATTCTTTTCATTCAAAAAATTCAATTTAATATTTGTTATTGAAATAAATGATACAATATTATCCAATACATCAATAAGGCTATTTGTTTTCTTTGATGTTGTGATAAATTATCTCAAAAGTTGAAAGTACGTTTGCCAAAATTTTATCTCTAGATTTTAATGTTGTAAATTTTCCTATGACAATATTAATCTATAATTTTTTTTGTACAGACCACAATTTTCAAAAAGATGTTCGACGAAATGGTTCTTATTCTCGAAAAACATGGATATAAATTCATCAAGCAAGTAGGAAAGGGATGCTTTGCTACATGCTATTTAGTTTTCGATACTAGATACAAGAAAGAATTCATCTGTAAAGTTTGTCATTCAAATTCAAATAATCCAGAGTCATCCAATAAGCAGAAGTTCTACCAGAATGAAATTGATGCTCTAATAAACATAACTCATCCAAATATAATCAAGATATACAACTACTTTGAAGATCACAATTTTCTTTACATTATTTTGGAATACTGCAACCAATTTTCATTAGATAAGTTTATATCTATGCATGGCAACCTCAAAAGAAATCAATTATATGATTTTATCCTCCAGTTTGCTACAGGCTTACACCATTGTCATTTATATGGTATTGCTCATCATGATATCAAACCGGCAAACATATTATTGGATGAATACAATAAGATCAAGCTTGCAGATTTTGGATTCGCTTCTTATCAGGAATATGATGCTAACGAAGTTCGAGGCTCTCTTGCTTATATACCTCCAGAGAAGATCAACTTAGTTAAGTACGATCCTTTTGCTAGCGATGTTTGGAGTTTCGGAGTTTCAGTTTACTACCTTGCATTTGGATCACTCCCATTCCAAGGTGAGACAAAGGAGGAGTTATCACAAAACATTAAGAAGGCTAACTATAAAATGCCAGATACCAGCTATGACTTTGTTCGCGACATCGTTACACATACATTAGTTATCGATCCATCAAAAAGATGGACCATGAAGCAAATCGTTGACTATCTTAAAGATCAGCAGATTGTGGTCAAAGAAATCATTAAGACCAAATCATCATATGCTGTTCGCTCGATTACTCAGATGGCTTACAGTGGATTCCGTAGTATCCATTCACTGCGTAACATTCATCAACCAAGATTGGTCGAAACATTCGCAGTCCAAGTTTAATTATTTTTAATTTTATTCTTATTTTTCTATTATTTATTTGTGTTATATTAAATCCTATCTATCCTAAATGTAATTTTTATATCAGATAGAATCGAATAATTACAGGTCTTGGATGAATTTATTAGATTTTAGATCATCGTGTATTTTTTTTTATAAAATGGAGGGCATCATTTATTCAGAGTAGATGTGTATATTTCAATTAAAGCTTGCATTATCTCATTTAATATCTTGTTAATCTTTACAAAACAACTAGAAAGCATAGTTTTATAATCTTTCTCAGAATTTGTGCCTACTAAAATCCTATTATTTCATATTATATATCGAAATTAGAAAGAGATATCACTCTTATAAAATATATTTATAATTTAAGGGTGCACACGAGAGGATCATGTAAACTTCAGAATTTAGAACCTTATTTTTAGGCATTATCTTGGCTACCTATTTCGGCTCGAAAAGCAAAAAATATCAAAAAATACAACTTGACTCCATTCTGACCCTTTCATGGAGGTAGTTTTTATCCGCTAGTATTTTCCCTTTGAATCTCTTTACAATTCGAAATCAAATTCAAACCTCAGTAGAAGAAAGGAAGAATCGACTTACTACGGTTGTAATACGAATAAATACATATATTTAATTATTTTTATTTACATAATAATTGTTTGAAGCTCATATTCCAACAAATTTTTAAATAAAAACATTAAAATGTTGAAAATGTTCATATATTTTAATAGGGTTTTGGCACTTTATTGAGGAATTACTACATACATAGTCGAACTGAACTTGATATTTTGAAATTTAAATTATTTAGCAAAATTAAAATTTAACTTGAAATTTATAATTATTTAGTCATATTTTGCATAATTCTAAGTAGATTTTGTAAAAAATCAAGAAAGAAAAATTTTAACGTGCTTTATTTTTTCTTTTTTATAATAATACATATTATTATATAATTAACATATTCATAATGTTTCACCCTTTCAAAAATATAATCCTCCTCTCAAATAAACGTACATACGGGTGGCCTCTTTTTTCAAAAAATTAAAATTTGAAATTTTGGGCTCAAATATTAGAGATTTTTTCAACCTTCAACGATATATGTTGTCTATATCAGACCTCCTTTCTTTTTGATACTTAACATTGTTCCTAAATCTTAGCCGTTAAGGCTGTTCTGAAAATATTTTTTTTTCGAAAAAATTCGAAAAAAATTCTTAAAATTCAAAAATCCCTTAATTCCTGAGGATTTTGGAAAAAAGTTTTTACATGAACATGTGTATATTATATGAAGTATATTGATAAGGTAAAAATCAAATTTTATTGCATATTCATCGAGAAAATAAACTAACGAATCCCTCAAAATTGAGAGGGTAATCCTCCTCCTCTCAAATAAACGTACATACGGGTGCACCCTTAAATATATCAATAATGTTTTCTTAGTTTACATATTATTGATATTTGTATCATGCTGAAATGTGAGATCAATTCGATTGTATCATCGCTTATCTTGATGTGGTAAATTTTTGTCATTTCAACTATAAATGGAATAATTATAGGTTCAAAACGAACAGTGTAAATGTCGTCGAACATTTCAATGCATACAAATTTGAAATCAATATGTGTATCTTCTACAAGGTACTGTTGCATGCTAAGATCAGTCATAATGTAAACCTCTCAATTTTATTGTCGTGGGAAGTATCTCAATTCCTTCAAAAAAATTGAAAAACTATTTAATTTTAAAAATATAATACTTTTAATTAATTAATTGGAGATATTTTTAAAAAATCACTTTTGATAATACTTTTGAGAACTTTAATTAAAAAAATATATTCAAAAATATCCAGGATATCAAGAGGGAATTGTTCCTTATGAGGTATATAGTTATGATGTATACCTCATAAGGAACAATTCCCTCCTTAAAATCGTAGACATTTTTATACTTATTAATCAACCATTCAAAATCATATTCCTCTGAAAAGTTATTTTATTAAAAATTTAGAATTTTAATAAATATAGAGTTTGAATTTCATACAATACCTATATATTTTCAATAATGGAATTTGAAAACCATTCTCAAAAATTCTCAGAAAACCTTTTTTTCATTAATTTTAAGAAATCTGAGTATTAAATTAAGTGATAAATTCGTTTGACACTACTTTAATTTTTAAATTCAAAAAATTATATGTGCTTCTTAAAATGACTCAAAAAAATTTATTATAAAATAATATATAATATTAAAAATCCCACAACATTTTTTACTTTACATAATCGTACTTCCTCGACGATTAATTTCCACTCAATTTCTATCGTTGACCGAACTTAGCATGCAACAGTACTGATCAATGTATGATTTAAATTTTTAGAAAATTATCTCTGTTTTAGTTTAATAAAATAATATTGCGCGGTGAATTTGTATCTCAAAATTATGTAACTGTATCGGTAACAACTTCAAATGTCTTATTGACAAGATTTGTAAAAAAAAAATCAAAAATATACTTGAGATCATATAAATGTGCTCTTCTCTTTATAACGTAAGAATTGATCAAAGATAACATGTGTACTACTGATTGATTTTGGAGGATTGCTATGATTAGAGACGATTTGATTAAATAATTCAATGAAAAATGGACTATTTGATTCATCAATTAGGAGATTCGATTGTTTGTATTCGATTGCACTTCTGCATTTGGTGAATTAGTTGTATCGTAAATCAAGGAAAGTTAATCATCTGCTGTGATACTCTTAAAAAATTAAAAGAACGAATTTTTTTCTAAATACAATTAATGGCATCAGATGATTAGATTACTTTTTTAGAAATCATCAATCAAATTTGGCATATTTTTGAAAGAATATCTAAAGACAAGACACCCAATAAGAGTTTTTGTGCATACGGTTCTCGGGCGCCTATGTCACATTCACAAAGGACTCCGTCTTTATTAGCAAACTCAGAAGAAATGTTTAACTAAAAGAAAAATTATTTCATCAAGACTAATAAATGTTTTCAAAAAGCAAATCACATCATTAACATATCAGTTTTAATTACAAAACTCAACGATACATAACAAATTTCTTCGAAATTTAAATTCTCATTAAAAAATTCTTTTGATACAAATTACCCAGATTTGCCTTACTTTTACCACCTCTCTAAAGCTGGGGACACCGCCTATCGTTGGGAGTAGCTATTAAATAGAACCACCAAGGGTATTTTTCGAACTGCTTGTGTAGTGTAGTGGAAACATCCGACATAATGATTCATTATGCCAAGGTTTGATTCTCATTTAGCCAATTTTTTTCTTTTTTGGATCATGAATTTTTTTTGGGTCACTATAAGATTTGTTTCATGTTCTAAATCTGCTGCATATGTAATCTATTTTTATTTACCTATTTTTTAAAAATCTATTGGATTGCCAAATTTGAATATATTTAAAATCATAAAAATCCAAAAAACTATAATATATGTTTTATGCATAGTGCCGATACTCAAATATCAGATTACTTAGATCCATGAATAATATCCGAATTTTTTTTCTTAAAATTAAACTTCAAAACTTCTTGCAATCTTATTCTTCATCTATTGTAAATTTTTAAAACCATTTTTTAAAATAATTTTGCGTAAATTTTATTCTCATGTTGTTTTAATCGAAAATTGATACATTTCAAAAAAAAAATATTGACTTATGAAATTCATTTTTAAGGTGAAATAGTATTGTTTTTATTAAAGTATATGAATAATATATAAAAAATTAATGAATAATATAAGCAGATTTTTAGTTTACAAAACAAATATGAGCAATGCAATTTCAAACTTTTGCTGGCAATTTCGATATTGCTCAAGTTTGTAGATTTGTGATACCTATAACATCGGCTTAATCAAAATTCGATTTTTCTTATGAGTTATTGAGAAAATTTGATTGCAATGAGAAGGATTTCGACGTTTTTGATAAACTAAGAGCTGAGCTTTAGGGTTCAGTTCATTTATGGCTGTAGTTTGATGCGTAGATCTCTTTTTTATTGTAAATTCTTTCAGCATGGAGATCGAGAATGAATCTTTTGAGAACTTTATGAGTTTTTACACCCGTAAGAGGTCCTTCGAGGAAAGATAGTCCAGACTACATGAAGATGTGGGTTAACCAAAAAAATCCGATGGTTTCCCCATATTCATGTAGATCTTCGAAAAAATGAGCACCAAAAAAGCCAAAAAAATAGGCTTTTTATTGGATTTGTACACTAGATCAATAACCTATTTAGGATCTGACACTCTTTTTAGCCAGAGATATGAGGTCCTTTCTAGGAAAACGATCTATTCATCCATAAAAAAAATGAATTATCGTTTTCCCCAGAAATTACATGGGGAGTGGTAAAAGTAAGGAAAATCTGGGTAAATAGCTACATATTCGATTTTCCCATTGATACGAACTTATTGTTTTCATTCAAGATTTACAAGAAATCAAATACTTATTTCACAACAACAAATATCTATTTTTACTCAAACACGAGCATGTATTTACTAATAAATTCATGTTTTTACATCATTACATTTGACAATACTATCAAAACAACCCCAAAATCAAACTAATTTTCGATATTCTTTATTCAGACCAGAGAATTCATATAAATCATCGATTACTCAAATTTAAGTATTCATTTAATGTAATAATTGTTAGATATTAGGCGTTTTATATAAAGATTCTCCCTATTTCAAATTTTCAAGCAAATTAAGTCGATATTTCATACATTTTATAATATACAAATCATGTGTAAGTACAATAGCTTAATTATTTACAATATTGATCATTTTATTACGAAATCCAAAAATTTAATCAGCAAAATCGATGTTTTTATATAAGATTAGAATGATTTACATCATTGTTTCCATGCACTAGCTGTTAAAATGCTGATGACAGCTAAAAGAATCGCAATTTCATAACTTGAATATAAGATTCAAATGAATCGGCATTATTTGACATTTACATCATTGAAATGTCAAATAATGCCGATTCATTTTTTTGATGAAAACAATGAAATTCAATCACGATTTTCAGATAACAGTATCAAAACACACATCAACTATGAATAATTTACACTTTGATCAATCACCTGATGATGTTTGGAAGTTATTTTACAATACACAACCTATTTCAAAACCAATTCAAGGTAAAAATGTTCCAATTACATCAACGAATAATGAGTGTTTCTTATATAACTGTATATTCATTGATATTACAACTAATAGTGCCATTTATTTTACGAATACAAGCAATAAGTTCCTTAACTCGTATTGTTCATTTACTAACTGCAGCAGTAATACAAATGGTGGATCTATCTACTTTAACTGTAATAGTTCCATTGTCCAATACCGCTCATGTGGCTACAAATCAAAAACAAACGATCAAGGACATCATTCATATGTTTCCTTAGTTTCTAAATCAAATAATAAAAATTATCTTTATGAAAGTTCTTTTTATGAATGCGGAAATTTAGAAAAATCTAGAACAAATAGTCTTTGGTATGGAAATATTGAAGTTAAATCAATCAACACAAGTTTCTGTGAAGCAGACTATGACTCAGGAATAATTCTAGGTGATCCAACAAGTCTAAGTAACGTAACATATTCATCATTTTGTAACACAACATCAAATAATTTAATTTTAGAATTATATCGTGGTAACTCTAATTTTAATTTTTGTAATGTTTTGAATAATGAACACAAAAAATCTGATTATGGAACATTCTATGCAATTGTATCAACTGTTCTTATTGAAAACTGTTCATTTCTTGGAAACACAGGACCAGGAAAAGAATTTTATCATCAATATTATTCTGGTTCAATTACAGTTAAAGATTCTTTCTGTGACAGAATAGATAAAACATGTGGATCAGTTACAACAATTAATGTTCAAAATATATCTTCTATTCATCATCTTTCTCACTTTTCATCATATCTGTGTGAAGCAGAGTTTCCTATTTTAGATAAAAAGTCTATGAGATCTGCTTTTGATTTATATCATCAATTTTCCTTTAGACGAAGGCGTTAATATTCATGATTTATGAATTTATATAATCAAAAAATTGTAATTAAAGACCATTATTAACTAAAGCATTCATCAATTGTTTAATATCAATTGAAATATGAAAAACTTTATATTCAAAAGATGATGCGGCTTGATTTCTCAATTTAATTTTCAAAGAGTTCGTATTTGTTACAGTGAATTTAAATAATTAGTACTGATATAGTAATGCAATAATATCGGGAACATGGCTCTTAATTTCGAAATAGGTTTTCTTTGTAAGTCATCTAAGTATTAACAAACTGATATTTCAATAAAGAGTTCAATATTATAATAGAAATTTGCTATGACAGAAAGAATAAAACTATAGCAAAAAGAATTATTGTTATTTCGATGATATTTTGTAATATTCTTCGTTTACAAATGATTGGACATTGTATCTTGGGGAGATGTTGGATAATAAATTTAACGATTTCTTATTCAATTCTATTATATCATTGCTATCTTGAAGTGGAAAATTTTTTCTTAAGAGTGCACTTACACCTGTATTACATGTCCTTCGATTCAGATGTTTAAGGTTAATTTTCAATGACACTTCACACCATTTGTCAGAAATTTGAATTAAAGTCAGATACGCGTAAGTGCACCCTTAAGAACATTTGTCATTACAAGTATAAGTAAAGACACTCAAGATGCATTTTTGTCATTCAATAATCTATTCTCTCGCTATTGCAAACAATTTCAAATGTCGCATTCAATTTCTGTGTAATACAATATCATTCACTAGGATCAGTTTATTCATAACTTTACTCACTTTTCAACATATTTCTGTTAAAGCCAGGATAAATATGCTTCCAATACGTAACATCATTTATCATTTTCCTTTAGACAAGTGCGTTAATTTTTCAAGGATTTATTATTATCGTTTTTTATTATTAAAAATAATTTTTTTTACAAACAAAAAAAATAAAAAAAACTCATTATTTTCATCTAAAACGTATAAAATTGTCAATTTTATGAGAATAAATTAAAATCTCATGAAATATAAAGGAGAGTAATATTTTTCAATTTTCTTTTTTCTTTCTCTCAAATATTTCTATTGGGAATTTTCTTGTTATCAAAAAATAATTTAATATTTGTTTATTTCATTACATACAATAAAAATTTAAAAACTCTATTTCTTCACAAGAAAATTTTTTTCCTTCATATGAAGAAACATTTTGTTCTCCATTTGATGCTGAGTCTAAATCTCGATTTTTGATTTTCTTCTTTCCAAATTTCTTTTTTCCAAAATTCGAAGTTTAATTCAAATTTTCAATAGTTTATATATTTTCTCAAACCGTCTTAGATTTTCTCACTTTTTAGGGATTTTCTCTCAAAATATACAAAAATAGTAATATCAATACATGTGTCTAATATACTTTAAAACCATCGTGATAAAATTCAAAAACGAAGAGTTCTTCTCTCCAAATTTTTTTCAAAATCAAAAAAATGAGATAAAAAAATACGTTTGGAAAATTCATTTTTAGCATTTTAGGAATTTTCTCACTTTTCTTCCAAATTGACATCCTTAATAATATATTACCATTTGGAAGTATCTTTACATTATTGATACTAATTTTGGAAATTAATAACTTTTCAAAGATTTTGTTATAATTTTTATTCTCTACACTATTTTAATATAAGCTCCGTTTTTAAATAGGTTTTAAAAAATCGTAAATTGAAAAGTCTAATGATTATTTTATGAAAACAAATAAATTAATAGAAATTTGATCTAAATATTAAATACAATAATATTTATCATATTTATCCAGTGGAATTAGCTCGATAACTTATTTTGAATATATTCAAAATTGAGTTCAATAAAATCGATAATAATGTTGTCTCTGTTTGTTGGGCATATATTGTCACACAAGCCGATTAATGTTACCACAAGAAATTTCACAAGCATGAGCAATTTTGATGATCTATTTAAAGCAATGAGAGACCATTTTGGTTCATATAACTTAACAAAAGATGGCTTTATTTATGTTACAAATTCATCCGCAGCTTCATCAGGCCAAAGTAGTCGTTTACCAGTAGATTACATTGCAAGAGACCCTATACAATTTTATGATGAGAGATTTGTTACATATCCAACTAACAAGCCAGGGGATGAACATCATTTTACCATTGACTTTCTAACATCCAAAGTTCATTTAATTAATTACACTCTTCTATATATCTCTCAAATTAGATTTATGGTGCAATACGAGGTTTTAGGAGAGTTAATGACGAATCAATGGGAACAAATAGACTATCGAGCTGTAACACGACAGGATGTAACGCCATTTACGGTTGATGGCAACCAATATTTTGCCTATTCTTTTCCTACAACAGCAACCAAAAATTATTCAAGATTCAGGTTCAGAAATATAGGACAAAATCAAGGAGATAGTGTATCTGATGGCACTGGGCTATACACTGCAACTACTGCAAAGCTTTTCCTCTACGGCACTCTTTATCCTGGAGCAATAAAACGTTCCCCAATAAAATTGAAGAGGAAAGAACAAATGATGTTTAACTTTGCCATGTTCTCAAGTTTGTAAAAATATTCCTTTTATATTATATATATGAAATATTAGATATCTTAAATGTGGACATCTAATAGTTTTTTACCCTCTTTAATGATGGCAAAATTTAAGATTGTTTAAAACAAAAATACCGAGAGAATTATCGAAATAAATATGGCCATAATAGATAAAATATGCGTCATTAATATAATTTTCATCAAAAATCATTAATCTGATATAATTCTGGGGAAGAAATGTTTCGATAATTAAAATCATGTTACTTCTTGTCAGAGTGAAATGAATAAGGTTTAGCGATCTGCAGTGTAGAGGTATAAACCTACAACAATTCTTTCGGCAAAAAATCAAATTTGATATTCACACAATTGGCTTGGTTTGCCCTTCGGGTACACATGCCAACTTCGGCAAAATAAATATATATTGATTATAGGAAATGAGTTTATTTAAATAAATTGTAGTGTGATAGATTAAAATTATCTTTTAAAGATTATTATGTAAAGTAAGAGATAGAGTGTTAGCATAATCGAAGTAATTTAAAGAATGCTTTGAGATTTTAGAGATTTTTTGAAATAAATATTGAAAGCAAAGCATTGATTAAGAATTTGTTGTGAAATGAATATACTACGATAAGACATTAGATCATTGTGGTAGTTGACAAAATTGGAGCCGAAGTCTAGTTCATAAATGAAGAATAGATCTAAGCTATAACAAAGAATTGTAATATATTTGAAAGTTTAATAGTTTACAAGCTCCCCTCATGTTTGAACTATGTTTAAGCATCTTTATTTCTTGTTTTGTAAAGATTATTTTGATTAAATTATGAAGATCAAAATTTTTTATTTGTTAAGAAGGAAAATGCTTCAATGGTAAAATGGGTGCATTTTCACTATGTAAGCATTGAATGAATGGAACTCTATTCTGCTGCCCCACTATTATATGGATTTTTTTTGCGTGCCAATAATGATCCAATTGTTAACATACACCATGCAATTTAATGATTCATATTGACAAATTTTGTTGGATTGAAAATTCCTTTTCCCAATGATATAGTATTGATTTTATTCAGCAAAAATATATTCACTATACATACCAGTCTATGTGAACACATATTGCACCATTAGAAATAAGAAGTTCTATATTATTCGGCTATAACTTTTTACTATGGCACAATGAAGTCGGGTATTGCCAACGGTATCATGTTCATTAACATTAATACCATGAGATATATAAACATTTGCTATTTCAAAGCAGTTATACTATGCTGCAATATGTAATTCATTCATTCCATCATTACTTTTTGCATTAATTTCTGCTCCATTTGATAATAGAATCTTGGCAGCCTTAGTTGAACTATGTAAAACAGCATGTTGAAAAAAAGTTCTTCTCATTTTAGATTTTGCATTGATATCTATTAAGGCATAATGAAGAGCGGTCATCCCATTATCATCTTTTCCTTAACATCTGCCCCATGGAAAATAAGAATCTCTGCAATTTCTTTATTATTATGACAGGTATCTAAGTGAAGAGGATGCATGCTAAACGAATTTATTGCATTAACATTAGCACCATCTGAAATTAAAACCTCTGTTGTTTTACATCGGTTATTCAAGGCAGCTAAATGGAGAGCTGTATTTAAACTATTGCTTCTTGCATTAACATTTAATCCGCATTAAGAAGTGCTGTTTTTCCTGCAAGTAATTCTTTAGCATTAGCACAACAAGAAAGAATATGCTTAATTATTTCTATGCTATTTTTATTGCTTATTGCATGATAAAGAATAGAATCTTTTATATCTCTGGTAAATGTAGTCAAATATTGACACAGAGATAACAAATTAAAATATGGTGAATATTTAATGCAACCTCTATAATCATTAGTTTGATCTAAATAATCCAAAAATGCTTGAAGATTATTGTATTCGGCACAGCATTCCAAATCAATTTCAATGCAGTATTCATTCTTGAAGAAACAAATAAAATCAATGTTATGCATTATAATTGCATTTTCCATGCAATAATTGCAAGGACTTTGTTTTTTTAAGCATTCATTCATAATATCAGGTTGTCCACTCAGGAACGAAAGTTATCGGCATTTTGGAGTGATTTTTGCTTAATTCATATTTTATACTCCCATCGTTATTTCATCATTCATAATTAACGAGTATAATGGACTCGGGCTTATATCTTCTGGTATTTTGAAATAGCATATGTGTGTATTGTCTAAAGCAATGCCATATTCCTTATACACCAAGTGATCAAAAAATTGTGAAATGTCAGGAACATGTTTTGGATGATATTCTTCGTAAATCTTTTTGAATAGCATGAAATATGATTGAGCGTAGCCTCTTTTATATACAGATATATCACTAATAATCTTTATTATCTGTTCTGCATCAAAATATTTGGGGTTTATTAAGTGAGTTTTTAAGATCTTAAGTATAATTTATTAATTTCTTCTTCGTTTTCTGACTTAAGCTGATATAATGAATTAAATGCTTCAATATAATCTTTATATGTTACTAACAGTTCTGCATGCCTTGCATTTTCTTGTTGCATAAAAAAATGATTTTTAAACGACCACAGTCAAATTTGATCCACATTTTGAGAATGTTTGAAACATCTTTGGTAGAGATCTCTTCTAGTATATAAGATTAACTCAAATGATTAAATTTGTATTCTTTTTTGAAATCAAATGAGCAATTGCATTCTTTGTGATCTAAAATATTTATACTTCAATTTAAATTAGAACCACTGCTACTAAAGTACTACACGCCAATAAAATCAAAAAGTGACAAATGAGCACCCTAGAAATTCTTCATGATGGTAACAATGCTTTTTATGCTAAGAAATACACTCTTGCATATAAATTGTATGATTATGTGATGAAGAATTCCAAAAATGAAAGGGAAAAACTTATAGCTCAAGCAAATCTTGCAATATTACAAGAAGAAATCAATATGAATGAAGCAGGCGATGATACATATCCGATGAATGTTGATACTTCCATGATTGGGATATGGCCAAAACGAAAAACGTATATACCAGATGAAAGAACTCCAATAGAAGAAGAGTCATCACAAGGAGAAAATGAAATAACATACGAACCAGGCTTGAAAGTTTTAAGCAAGGCAACAGAAATTATTGAAAACCAAAAAAGCAAATCGTATCCTTACAGTCAACGTGGAGACATATTCACAATGATGGGTTTATATAAAAATGCAACTAATGATTTACGAAAAGCACTAGATTTGGATGCATCTCAGAGTTTGTTATTAAAATTAGTTAATAGTTCATTATTCAGTAATGATTTAGACACATATAGTTTTATCATACACAATTTTGATGATAATTCATGTTTTGGAGCCTTATCTCAAGGATTATTATTATGGAGCTCAAGAAGATTCGACGAAGCGCTTAAATACATTAATAAAGCTATCGAGAATGAAGAAGAAAATGCATTACTTATGCGAGCAAGGCTTTATTTTGTTCTTGGTCAAATTAATAATTCATATAATGACTGGCTTCAAAGCGGATATGCCTCTGACGACATTGTATTTGTTCTTAAGTTTCTTAGAGATACAGCTATACCTCCAGAACCCAAAGATGATACATGGAAAAGTTATTCATTACGTCATTTCAGAGCCGGTATATATAAATCTCTTTTTTACGAGAGAATGATTACTGTTCCTCTTGATCTCTGGATTCCTCTTCAAGTTCAGAGCGAATGGGCCTCCGGTGGCATGTTACGATATCCTCCAGTTCCATTGTGTCAATCAGAACAATCATATCCAGAAGGATTCGCTTTAGGACTGAGCGAAAGTCAGCGTGCAGCTGCTAAAGCACTTCTCCGAACAGCGTACCGGATTGGAGCTTCTACGAGTTCAAGGGAATGTTCACCACGAGCATTTAAATGTGTTGGAATGGCTGTTTTAGAATTAAGTGAAGAAATTAGATCATCACCAGTTAGTTTCTCACAAGCAGCAGCTATTCCTGCGCATTGGCTTCGTCTTCTTGATCCTATGCAGCCTTTGTTTATGAGATGTTCTCTTCGCGATTGTCCAATTGTTTTGCATGTTCAAAGAGATTTGTTTTTGAGTGATTTGATAATTTTCCAACCAACTTTGCTATCAATTGTCAAAAAAAACCTTCTTGAATCATGCAAAGACATTATTGCACAGAAGATATCACTCGCAAAGACAGCGGATGACATATGGGATATTGTAAGATCTGATGTTTCAGTGAGAATTGGTTCTTCTGACAGCGAAATTTACATCAGAAAAATGCCAGCAGGACACATTGAATTTGGCATTGTTATTCCTTCTGGACAATCACATTTGGACGAACTTGCAAAAGCTGAAGTTTCATGGAGTGCTTTAATGAACACTTTGGCTAGAGGACCAAAAGTAGAATGTTTAGAACATTTAATGAGATTTTTGTATCATTGGATGAGAAGTTGTCCTTTGACTGCTCAATCTCATACAGTAGGAATGATTATTTTCCATGCAATAATTGTTGTCATTCTAAAGAGAGCTGCTTTCGACCTTCCTCCTCCAATACATGTTCTGATTGAAGCAATTCTCGCGAATGATTTCCCTGAATTCAAGGAAACATTGACATCGCACATGAAAGCTTCTTTAATTGATGAGCATATCACTGAAATACCTTCAATAAGAGAGAATCTGCCTAACTTCCCTTCAAGAATTGCTGCATTAATAATAGATGACGCAAAGAAAGAAGAAAGTAAATAAATATAGATTGTTTGTATTTAAGGGTGCACCCGTATGTACGTTTATTTGAGAGGAGGAGGATTACCCTCTCAATTTTGAGTGATTCGTTAGTTTATTTTCTCGATGAATATGCAATAAAATTTGATTTTTACCTTATCAATATACTTCATATAATATACACATGTTCATGTAAAAACTTTTTTCCAAAATCCTCAGGAATTAAGGGATTTTTGAATTTTAAGAATTTTTTTCGAATTTTTTCGAAAAAAAAATATTTTCAGAACAGCCTTAACGGCTAAGATTTAGGAACAATGTTAAGTATCAAAAAGAAAGGAGGTCTGATATAGACAACATATATCGTTGAAGGTTGAAAAAATCTCTAATATTTGAGCCCAAAATTTCAAATTTTAATTTTTTGAAAAAAGAGGCCACCCGTATGTACGTTTATTTGAGAGGAGGATTATATCTTTGAAAGGGTGAAACATTATGAATATGTTAATTATATAATAATATGTATTATTATAAAAAAGAAAAAATAAAGCACGTTAAGGGAGGCTTCCGACCAGAAAGCCCTCTCAATTTTTTGTGATGTTTACACCAAAAGTGAGATTCGTTAAGCGTTTTTCTCGTTGAATATTGAGTTTCCCGGATTTTAAGTTATTCATAAAGCTTCTCTATATTATACCCTATCTACTGATATGATTATTTTTGAAAAATCTCTTAAATCGACCTGCACTGAATTTTTTAGGGAAAATTCGAAATTTTCTAGGCGTTTTCTGTAACGTTTTTTACGGAATAAAATCCGAAAAATAATTTTTTGAAGAATCATTTGGGTAGAATACTTATCGAAAATTATATTTATTATAATTTTGGTCGATAAAAATAAGCGGATTCAAAACTGGCAAAAACCCTTTCGGCAATTTGTGGACGATTCCGAACCCCCCTCATTTTTGAAATTTAATAAGAAAAATAGAATCTTTATTAAATATAGATTTTAAAAAACTTGGTTATAAATTACGAAATTTTCTCACTTGGGCTAAAAAGTGACAATTTGGTCGGAAGCCACCCTTAAAATTTTTCTTTCTTGATTTTTTACAAAATCTACTTAGAATTATGCAAAATATGACTAAATAATTATAAATTTCAAGTTAAATTTTAATTTTGATAAATAATTTAAATTTCAAAATATCAAGTTCAGTTCGACTATGTATGTAGTAATTCCTCAATAAAGTGCCAAAACCCTATTAAAATATATGAACATTTTCAACGCTATTGAAAACGAAAAAATCGAAGTTGTCAAAGTTCTCCTTTCTCGTGAAGATCTCGATTTGAGTGTTGTTGACAGCGAAGGACACACAGCTAAAGACGTCGCACTCCAGACAAAGAACGAAGATATTATTAATCTTCTTTTAAATAAATGAGTTTTTTTATTTTTTTTTGTTTGTAAAAAAAATTATTTTTAATAATAAAAAACGATAATAATAAATCCTTGAAAAATTAACGCACTTGTCTAAAGGAAAATGATAAATGATGTTACGTATTGGAAGCATATTTATCCTGCTTTACAGAAATATGTTGAAAAGTGAGTAAAGTTATGAATAAACTGATCCTAGTGAATGATAT